TTGTCAGGGCGACTATGTAGAAGGCACCTAGTCCGAAGTTGTCTGCCATAGTAGTTGTCATGATTCCCAGCATCTGACAGTGGACGTTTGAGAATGTATCAAGTCAACTGTCAGATGCTGGGAATCATGACAACTACTATGGCAGACAACTTCGGACTAGGTGCCTTCTACGTAGTCGCCCTGACAACAAGACCAAGTTGCGACAACGAGGTCAACCCACTTCTAAAATTTGCCTGTTAATGGTTAATTTCAGTTAACAACCCATGTTTTTATAAATCTGATAAATGAAGGTGAATGTGACATCTTGTGATGCGATGTAAGACAACAATATCACAAAGACAATAAGGTTTTGGAATCCAGACTATATAAAAATGAATAGGCCTTTGCAGTGCTGAATGCATAAATTAAAAAAAGTAAATATTGCCTTCGATATGATTATATCTGGCTTAGCTAACAAAGTAAAGTTATGCAATAGAGTAGCTCATAAATTTCATAGAAAGGATGGCTAGATAAATCCTTCATCATCCTAAAATTTTAGGAAAATTCTAAGTGACTTACTGGCTAAAATAAAATTTTTCGTTAAACAGGAATGTGATAATTGCTTAGCCCTCATGTGTATTATCCATTAAGATCGAAGTCGACATCCACCAAATTCCTACTTGCTCAGATATCTCATTAACTTACTAATACTATCTAATTAGATAGTTAAGGTTTACATAAGGAATTCGGAGTTAATCTTTTAAAAGCGAAAATAGTAGGATAAAAAGCATCGATCAAAACGTATTTTTATTCTACAATAGCTATTATGCATGACCCAACAAAGATAGTACAAATGGTATTTAGGCTAGGACCATCTTTCGAAAAGGTTTACAAAAATTGAAAATAATAACGGTTTAGTAGGTAAAAACACTAGCTTGCTAAATTTGCTGAAGAAAATAGATAATTTAGGTGAACCAGGCCAGCATAAACTTTCGCTTTTTGTAAGACGAATCTGCACTAAGATGGCTTGCGAGGTGTATACTTTTAGTAAATAAGTTGACAAAAAATAGGGTAAATATAGGACAAAAGATTCCGTAAGTACAAAACAACCGTGTAGATTATGGAACACCCATTGCAAAATGCAGGATTTAGGAATTAATCTGGCATTATAGGGCAGGTAGCAGCCTAAATAGGAAAAATGAATTTTAAGAAGAATTTGATAGGCAAGGATTGTACCCATTAGTGAACTGGACTGGGTGAGAGGCAAGACCAGCCTTAGAAAAATGCTAAATTAGAGTATAATGTAGGCTTACTCGAAAAAATAATGCTGAAACACGCTTGGGAGCGTAATAAGATTCAAGTGTAAAAAAACTGATCACTGCCCTTAATTTGTGCCAAGGTAAGGCGATTTAAGGCTCGGAGTATATTACTATGGTATGCGAAGAACAGGTGCAAAATATTTTGTGGCTTGAGTTGCCCACGAATCCGTACTTCAGGATTATTAGAGAGAAATTAGAAAAAACAGATAAGAAGGACCTTTATTCTCATAAGAAACATAAATTATTTATAATGAAAATCAAATAAAAATAGAATGCAGTCTGCATACTCAGGGTACATGAAAATAGCTCCTAAATCAAAGCATGGAAACTAATAAAATGAGCTTACCACAAAACGCGAGTTCACCTTCTGCAATATCTGTTTTTCCATCAAGGCCATGTGTTCTCCTCGACGTTTCTTTACTCGCTTCTTTTCCAGTTTCTTACATGCGTAAAGCTTTCCGGTAGCACGAACCTGACAGGCACAAACTTCACCAAATCCGCCCTTACCAAGGACCCGATACATGCGAAATGTGTGCTTAGTAACTGGTCGCCTAAAAAGTATATATGAAATAGAGAAAGTATAAATAAATTTTAGGATATATGCACAGTAATACTATTTGTTTGATTATTGAGGTACATTACATTATTTAGAGGGATAAAAAGACAAATTTCTGTTAAGAATTATATCAGGGATTCTAAATGTCATATGTAATGATAGTAAATGAAGGCAGTAAAGCAAACTGGAGCACATTAAGTATACCTGATATTTATATCAGCCATCAAAATTAATTATTCAAAATTTTAATCACAAGAATACTAAATTAGCACTTAAATATGCGAAATAAAAATAAGGTAAAACTTGATAAAAAAGGTGTATAGTTTTCCAGCTCTCAAAGAATAAGCTAGAGTCTACTTATAAATACATCAAGTAGGGTATAACTGAAGCTGATGTGGTAGTAAGGTAAGTTATCCAAAGATTCTAACTGTTAGGATATGAGTAAATTAGGGAGCAGTGAAAAGGAGATAGGAACACGAATGTAAAAGATGAGGACAGCTTTTGTCTAGCTACAGAACATACTTCGAAACTACAAACAAGAGGAAATAAACGAAAGCTAAA